TGATAGGACAGGCCCTTAAAGTTTTATTGTCCTTAACCGTGTAATTAAGCCCGAAACAATTTAAAGTGAAAAGAACTTGATATAGTCTATTCTGAACACTAGAGGGTACTCGGTTAATGATGCAGGTCTCGGCAAGTGGCTGCGGACGTCATATAACTTCTATTGATTACTGCGGATATTATACTTTACAATTTTTTGTATAGCTTAGTATGGACACGCTGTTGAATTTACTAGTCTTATGATGCTGTAATTAACTGGAAATTATAAAGATCGTATAATTATAGAAATTAAATAATTTAGCCGTTACGTTTTTGATTTCGTTACGTTCAGCCACTTCTTTTTTTTTTACATTATTTTATTTTATTTATTACTAGCTGTTGCTCGTGATTTCGCATGCGTAAAATAGTAAAAACATAGCCTTTGTTACTCACAGATAAATTACCTTTCTAACTGTGAAATTTTAAAATCGGCCAAGTAGTTTTGGAGTTATTTTAATACATACAAATCTTTCCTCTTTATAATATTAATATAGATTTTTTTACTCAAAATTATCATATAGCACAATTGAAATGAATTAAGTAACTTCAAATCTTACTTTCTACAACATTTTTAAAATTTGTCTTATAAATTATACCTACGTTTTATTCAAATTAAAGTTATATGAACAAGTATATCCTCCAAACGATTGTTTAACGCATCGCTTTATAATCTTTATACCGTGCGTATCCTTGCAAATCCAACTGTCAACACAAATGTTGAATGAGACGTGCCATTTTAATATTAAAATGAGATTGTGTCTTCCATAGACATCGCGCATAAACAGAACAGCAAATAAAAGTAGATCACACTGTATTTATAGACTAGTTCAATGCAAATATAATACGGCTTCAAGGTAACTCGGACACGGGGGTGTGGAGGGGAATGGACGGGGCGGGGACTCACGACACATGACAATATGGCATTGTCTCCCTGATGTAAAGAGAATAACGTAGCAACCTGAATAGCGCTGCACGTGTTTATGCAACTTAAATGCAGCTATTCTTGTTCTTGATGTCTTTCTCATTCTGTTTGGAAAAAACAAAGATTATTTATAATGACCTCCTAACATACTGTATAATTATTTCTCTACTTTTCGAAAATAAAACAGAAATTGGTCTAATTTTAGCGTAACAATGAACTTTAAATTGTGGTAGACAATTAAAACTTGGCATTACACTCGTTCCACTTTTGTTGCGACTGAAATTAAAAATAAATACAATGTAGTACAACAATACATGTATTTAAGCGTAAATAACGCGAGTGCCATTTAAGATTCAATGCCGAATTAATTTGAACAATGTACGGACTGCGGACGACAAATAGATATTTGCATATTCATTCTGCAATGTACTAGATAGGCTACACTAGGTCACAGAATCCGTCTCTGCTTCGATTCTGTAGTTCCCTGGTGTTGCGGATGTCCATGGGCGTGCTGACCACCTCGGTTTTTCCGCCGCTTAATATTTTGTTTCAAGATGTATCACGCTAGATGCTAAAGGTAGATATACCAGTTAGCACGCTCTCCGTGATGTCTGACGTGACTGGACAACGTGTTTGTCTATAATAGGATTATTTTAATCCCTTTGTATGGCGGCCTTGTGCTGCCAATGCGTTGTGTGCCGTGCCATTGCCAATAGCGCTTCTCTACAAAACTTATATAAAAACGTAGTATGGAATTATGCATTGCATTTCTGTCACCTAGTTATCGTGCCATAGTAGAATGTTCAATATGGTTTGACCAAATGAAACACTCAAAGATTAACTTATGATCCAAATAGTTCTCCCCCGCGACTCCGTCCCCTTGTAATTAAAAAAAACAAAAGTGAATAGCCTATGTGTTCTTCCAGACTATGTTCTACATATGTGCTAAATTTCATCGAGATCCGTTTAGCCGTTTAGGCTACAAACTCTAACAAACATCTATCCATCCATCCAAACTTGCGTATTTATATTATTAGTAAGAAGTAAGATAATTTTGTTTCAAATGTTAGTACAAACATTTGTACCAATCGCGATCTTTCTGCCAACGTAACTAGATATAGTTTTTGGCCTACTGCTCTTAATTACCGTTGCATTGGCCGCTCACCAAATGTTAATGACCTACAAGCGAAAATGATCGTTATAATGATGGATGTAGTTTTTAAATTCGTATCAAGCTTGTTAACGTCAAGGTTGTGCAGTCATATGACCGGTCGTATGCAGCGTTGCATAATCTGTGAGTCTGTGACAGTCCTTTTGTACTGGAGATGGTTTTGTATGAGGATTTTATTACTCTTGTTATTATTTCAAGGGTAAACTCGTGGCTTTAGGTCATTAATGTTAAGACGGGGAATCGTAGAGCTTAGAATATTCTAGAATATTCATACGTGTATAATGTTATAAACAAACTTACCGTTGACTACTTTTACCGCAAACCATTTAAAATAACTAATTATAAATTTCTGTTAGTTTTTCCAACAAACCAATTATGTAACAATGTGGTACGTACCGTAGAGTAACTAGCACTGCGGATAATTAATGAGTATTTTCTTAATAAATGTTTATTTTCGACTATTAAAGTCTATATGAATTGTTAAATAGCTTAATATGTATTATGTATATATATATATGAAAAGTTATTACCTATAACAATTATCTATTAAGTATCAAGTATGTCGCAATACATTTGTAATTGCCCTTAGCTAATGGATGTTTAGTATCGTAGTTACTAAAGGAAATTAGTTCTCAAGAGACATGTCAGGTGTATTCACAGCTGACTATCGTTAACTGGCTTTCGCCAGTGACTGTCCGTGTGGCATTAATAAATAAATCCTGTTTTCTTTAAAACTTTACTCTACATCTGAGCAAAATTTCATCGAGATCCCTTTATCAGTTAAAGCTATACTCTAACAAATATACGTTCATCTGAATTTTCTCATTACAAATTAGTGAGAACTATTTTAACACACATTTTGACTTGTCCTATTACCATGTGTTGGTTATACCTTTCTAGTTTGGTCTAAAATATCGGCGATTAAAAGTTTCTATACTGTAAATAGAAATGGTATTTGAATTTTGGTTTGAAGAAAAAACCATTTAAATCAATTGTCATCTCTTGTGTTCTTGAAAAAGAGTGGAAATGTTATTCACATTGCTTTCATGTTATTCTCTAGCAGTCATAAAACATGTGGCTTGCAGCGAAGGATCAATAACAATAAGCGATGCCACGCCTCAAATCGCCTCGAGAACGTTTATCCTATTATAGTGGGAGGGCAAGAATCAGAGCGAATTCTGTCCACCACCCACGAGACATGCGTGGCTGAACAATTCATGCGACCATTTAAAGTTTATATCTGATGTTGAAGACAGATTCGATTGATAGATAGAAAATATTGCTGTCTCAGTGTTTTCCAAGAGAATGAAAGTGACAGTAATATATGTTTTTAGACAGTAGTAGAAAGATGGAAAGACACGATAATATCTTATCGTATAGGAAAAGAAATTGTTTAAACTATCGTGAGACATTGCTTTAAGCGAAAATTTTAACACTAATAGCGACACTTCAATACTTTTGAACCCATCGAAATCTCCGGCGTCGAAGCACGAAGATGCCACAACGCTCCCAGCGCCCCTACGCGCCCTAGCCCGCAGTGCGAGGTGCGACGTGACCGCGAACAAAAACTAATTAGTACTCGCCCTGAAGAAGGACCCCCGAAGGGTCTGAAACTAGTCGGGTGCCTTCACCGGAGAATAAAAGTATAGTAAATTGTTTAAATCCAAACCATAACGCGGTATATTTTGTCGAAACTCGATGTGACTGATTTTAATTCTTTATATTTGTTCATGTAAATTTACTGAATAAACTGTTTTATATGGTATTCAAAAGGCATGCCTACAAAGTGGCAACCCTTAACCTACAATTTAACGTTGTAAGTTACTGACGTCATCAAGCGCCAAAGGTCCATTACACAGACGCTTACCGTATTCACAACTCTCCGACCACTCGGCACGCTCCGGTAACTATGTTAAAACCCGTTTTCCACTAGCCCGACAAAACGACCAACTGCTATTCGTTTGAGTCGCGGGAGCGTTACTGGAATGGCTGCACACGGCTCTTAGAAATAGCAGTTGCAGGCAAAATAGAGCGGGTAGTCGCCCTAGTGTAATAAGGGCCTAAACTTCAGTTAACGCGCACTTTACTCTACGTTCATTAACAACCGGTGCAGGTTATCTTGAAATGGCTTTGAAACGATGTATAGTTGGTTGGACTACGTGTTTTGAATTTTTTAGAAATACATGTTTAAAGAATTTAATTTGCGCCAGGGTTTAAATGAAGTTATAAGTATGTGGTTAAGTATACGTAATGTTTTTCCAGTAAAAAATAATTAAAAAAGCCAACCGACTTTAAGGAAAAATATACAAATTATTAAAAATATTTGCACTTGTATTTTATTCTCGAAAGAGTACGCTTCTAGCAATTTATTATCAATACAAAAATAAGGACAGATAAACGTGATAAATGTTAAAGAATACATTTAACCCAATTGAGATAAAACATGTTTAAAGTCATCAAACTTATTTAGTTTCATTATGTTTTTTGATAAAACTTAAATGGACTAGATGATGTATCAATCTTACGATCTTACTTCTTACTAATATTATAAATGCGAAAGTTTAGATGGATGGATGTACGGATGTTTGTTAGATTTTGTAGTCTAAACGGCTGAACGGATTTCGATGAAATTTGGTACAGATGTAGAGGATAGTCTGGAAGAACTTATAGGCTACTCACTTTTGTTTTTTTTTAATACCACGAGCATGGAGTCGCAGGCGAGAGCTAGTCAAAACTAAATTAACTACAATCGATATAATTTTTCACAAAAATCTCAGAACTTGTTAACAAGAACATTGTTACCTTTGTTTTTCAAAGATAATGTATCTATGTATGTATGTTAATTCATACATAATGTTTTTTGTTGCAGGTACAACGGAGCGCGCTTGCCTGATCACTGGCTCCGTGGACGGCATCATGATGGTGTTGGACTTCATTATGGAGAAGATCAAGGAGAAGCCGGAGCTGGTGAAGCCGTTCCCAGAAGGTGTCGATACCAAGATGCCACAGGATAGAGATAAACAGGTCAGTGCAAATACTGTGCTCACTCTGTTGCAATTTTGTTAGATCGAAGTTGCTAATAGTGCAAGTTTAGTACTCAAAACTACTTGAGCCGACTTTTTAGCAATTACTAAAGGATTCTGAGTGCAGCAGTGTAATAGATATAAATATAATATCCGTCAGGTAGAGGAGTCGTTAATAGCAGTCTTGCAACACTTCTCCTAATTTCTCAAAATTTTAAGGTCTACTTACGCTTTTTTTCTCCAGTACGCTATTACGCTCTCTGAAGAGTGCATTATCGGGTTTTTCATTACCACTGACCTACTACCATGTGTGATACAAAGTAGGGAGAGAGAGAGAGAGTTACCGCGTAATTTTATTCTGTCCCAATTTATCACGTCTAAGTAAACAACGCCCTGAGTTAAATTTAGAAATGTGATTTCCTATAGCTTCAATCAACTTGGAAGGAACGTGTAGCAATCTCCGATAATTTCATTCCACTTTTGCGATTCCAATTAACTTAAACTTATGATGAAGTTGAAAATAAGTGGAATCACAGCTCTTTACGTACTGGTAAATTCGATTGCCAAATATTCATCTTGTGAATATATTTTTTTATCTTTATTCGATTATATTTAACATAGTAACTATTATCTATACATATAATAAAACTGGAGTATCTGTTTGTAATATCATTTCGGCCAGACTTTCACTGAAGGGTAGCTGACATAGACGGGCATATTATCTTTTTTTCTTAATATTGCGTCGACGAAGCAGATATTGTTCATAATGCACGTATATCGTTTAATTTTAGCTACAGGGCGTCATTAGCGTCCCACATGGGGCGTCATCGACACGTGGCCCCGTTTATCTAACGAACGGACGGACATATTAGCCAACAAATTGCCCCATTTTGTATTGTATTGCACTTGTTATATGCTACTATGATAAAATTCATTACATATTTGTACAGTAAACGGTTTCAATGATAAATAAAAATGTCTTGAGAAACGAAAAAAGATAAACAATTCGTGTGGTGTGTATGGGATTTTGAACATTTTGCCACCGAATTTTCTCGATGACGTTACGACTACATTCTCACAACTGTCACGCATTCGTGATAGACCCTCTAGTGTTTGTTAATACGAAAACAGATGCAAAATAACGATAGTAAGTTACAAATTGCGTGCTCACACGTTATAGTGCAAGCCTCACAGCAAATTGCCATTCAAAATGGTCATTAAATAATTTTAATCCAATCCGGTAATAGTAACGAAGTAAAGGCTCGTGCCGAGGCTCCTGAGGGACCCCTCGAGTTTAGTTACCCATAAACGAGGTTTAGGCTAAGCGTCAACTGCGCTCGGCCACCTCAAGCCCGGTGAATCTGTAAATGCCTCTTCAAGGAAACAGTGGCCATTTAGTCATAAAAAAACATTTTAATGTTGTCTATGATCGTATTTGCATTGCATGGCGCCACGAAAAGATGGTAATGTTCACAAAAGCGGAACCTTCAATCTTGATGGGTTTAATTTTTCTTGAACCCCCTATTTTTACTTAACGATGTGATCTTTTTTAAGATTGCTTTGTAAGAAAAAGAATAAATTGTGATTTATGTTGTTAATTGAAATCTTTACAAAAAAATTTAAGCGTAGCCGACGTTACTAGATAAATAATATGACTTTATTTATTCTGTATTTTATTTGAATTTAGTAGAATAGTAATTGTTACTCATAATTGTTTAATTACCCTTTAGTGTGGATGTAAAATCCAATGTAAAATCTATAGTAAATTTAAAAACTGTAGATATTTTTAAATCGTATTGTGACAACAGAGCAGTGTGTTGTACAATATAATTAAAACCCGTGGCTTGTGGTGCGTGTGCCTACTGCATTGCGGTACTCGCCTTATTGTATCATACGCGGTCGCTCACTTCCATTCCGGGAATTATTTAATTTATTTAAAAGATCATACGGTATTAAAATTGTACATTTTTTACCAGCTGGGCAGCGATACGTGAAAAATTAACATAATTTAATGTTTTTTATGTGATTACATTTATGCCACAAGTTATTTTTACCTTATTCAAATATTACTGGCATATTACAAACATTATAACCTCTTTCAATATTGAACAAATAAAACTGCACGTGGTTTTATTTAAAATTCGTATTAAAAGACGAATATCAAAGACGTTTTAAAAAGCAAGCTGTTTAAAAACTTATAAAGACAGTTAAATTAAAAAAAAAAACGGATTTAACAAAGTCGGTTCAGTTAGAACCGTCCAACGTTCTTATCTTAGTCTCTTTGTTAAATATTTACACAAAATGCTCCGTTGTCAGAGTTTAGGTTTCATAGCTTTCGGGGGACGCCGTTTCTGTGCAAATTACGTCGTTCCGTTTTACGGTTGCAAGTTTGAAAATAATTAAATGTATACCTTTTAAATGTTGTGTGGAAAGCTGATTCGTGAGACCATATAAAAGTATAATCAGATTGATAATTTTTACTGGTAGTATGTAATAATCAATTAAAATTGGTTCATCTCTCGTTTCTATAAACCAAATTTGCTTAAATTTAAGGAAATAGTAGCAAGGTTGTTGCCTTGTCGTCAAAACTGTACATTTTAACTCAAGTAATGTATTAATATGACGAAGTTACTAAAATAACATTTCAATCAATTTCGTGACCTCACCGCCGCGTAAACTAAGCTGGCTGACGAGCACGTGTCATTTGTGCACGCCTATGCACGCTACGGACACCATATATCATGAACGTAATGCGACTGTCCGGTCAATAATTAAATTATTTATTACCACTATAGTAAAATAGTTACTTAAGCAGTCCTTTGGTTTATGTTCCTTACAATTATTTAGTAACCTTAACTAGGACACCGACACTTAGTTGTGCTTAGAGTTTAGAAACTTTCGTATTTTAGAATCTACCCCAGTTATTTACAATATTACGCCAGTTAAAAATGCAAATGTTCCCGGCCGTTGTCCGGAGGGTTAAGTGGAAATAACGGATTTACGGTTTTGCATAATCCTGACTCGCTTCGCGACGCCTTTAACAAAGGGAAATTAAAAAAGGTTTATGAAAATACACGTATGATATTATTTTAATTTTTGCCGGTCGTGGTATAAATATACATTTTATTCAAAACTCGTTAGCATAGATCTAATGTCAACCTCAAAACTCCTCCAATTTACGTAAACCAAAGGCCGTCGTCTAAAAAATTTGCCATGGCTCTCTGACCATTAAGATCACAAGTTTTGATGTAGTACATTAGAAACATGAATTTTAATTATAAATGTAATATTTTATATCAAAGCAGCCTATTTAAGATGCGATTAGAATTGTATGTTTATATTTCTGCTTATCGTCTTGGGAGAATCATTACTATGTCCTGACATCGATGCACCAAGCGACTGGCAAATAGCCAAATAAAACACACAGCACTGTATTGGTATTTATGAGGTTTTTACTTTGTACTACTTTTTAATTTAACAATTTATGTTATTTTTTCTATAAGTACTTAGGGATCTCCCGATTAAGATTGTTGTCATTAAGTAAAATAGAATTAGGCAATAACTTTACCCAGTTTCGAGTGATAATAAATTGCATAAGATCGAGAAGATCCTTTTCGTACTGCAGTAGTCTTATATGCTATTTTACATATCTGAAATAGCTTTGACATATTTTCTGGCAGAACTAAGTTATCTAAGTGAGCTAAGCTTGTCGGACTATAGTTGTTTATCTTACGCAATACAAGATATGTCCTAGATTGTAGCATTGGATGCGCATCCCAGTGCAGTTACGTAGCCTAGTGCCGGTGGGGCGAGGGCGCCAAGGTCGCGCGCTAATACCGGCTGCGTTTGCAACGCCATCTAGTTAGCTGCAATGCTGTAATGTCCACTTAGGTCATACAAATTGTATATTATCTTCATTGTTTAGTGGAAAACAAGTTTAACTAGGCATGTTTTTCATTCATACACATTCTGAATTTAAATAACTATTGTAGATGGAAAGTGCGATAGAAAATTTTATCGCATACGCTTTGTTCACGAAACTAGGTTTCACTACTAAAGAGAATTCATTCATGTTAAATGGCAGTACACGAGATTCGTAAGGCAAGTATTTCGGCCATTGTAGGTCAACTGTGGATTCAAATACAGACGCCTCCGCTCCCTAGAGGGTGTTCACAAAAGGATTTCTTAACGACTACACGGCGCTCTTTACTTAGCGCCTTTGTGCTAACAACTTGAGACTACCTGAATAGGCTATGTAGACCTGACCTCGTATCGCTAAATTATTTTATGAATATATTTTAAACGGAACTTGGTACTTTTAAAAATACCTAAATGTATTCGAATATATTATGTTAGGATAAAAACAGTTTGTTTAATTAAAATACAAGTAGATTTTATATTCATATTATTGAAAACATGGTAAATATTACTTTTAAACTGACTTCCAAACAGGAGATTCAAATTTTTTCTGTATGTATTTAATTTGAAATTGAGGACTGTGAGGTAACAGCATCGGTCTGTTATCCGTTTGTCAACAAGTGTGTTTACAATGGAAACCCACATAAATTGTTGTATTTATTCCACAGGTTAAAATCCTAGTACCAAACTCGACAGCGGGCATGATAATAGGCAAGGGCGGCAACTATATCAAGCAGATTAAGGAGCAGAGTGGCAGCTACGTCCAGATATCGCAAAAGGCCAAAGAGCTCTCTCTACAGGAGAGATGCATTACTGTTGTAGGTAAGAAGCCTTTTGAAGTTCCCAAATTTAAAATTTTGAAACATTTTTAAGTGGTATAGGCACCAGCTAGCTCGGCTTCGCACTGGCGGTAACAAAAATTAATAGTTGTTATATATTTGTTACAGAAAATGTGGAATTTTCACTATACTGAGAAAGAATAGAATTTTTATAATCAGTTCTTTACTAATCTGATAAAGCGTAATGCGTACTTCGTGGCTTAAGATGTCAGCAATCACAGCATATTTTTAAATAATTCTTTTTTTTATAAAAATCCCTACACTTACGACACGCTTTAGGCTATATCTTTTCACCCTATTAAATTTAAGGGGTAAATAAATTAGAAAAACCTTCATGTGGGAAAGGGACCATAAAGTACAAGCTGCCAACATTAAAGAAGCAAGGTTATTATGGTAACAGTAATTTTGACATTTGCAGTTTTAACATATTTTTTTTTATAACATAAGGTGGCAAACGAGCAATCGGCCACCTGAAACCGCCAAAATGGCGAAGCGACCGCTGCCCACAGACATCCGCAATTGCAGATGCGTTGTCTACCCTTATACGACGGAGGAGGAGACGCACATAAAGGGGATATTTCCCCTTCCTATGCATCTCCCCCACCGTCAAATCCGCTTTCTCTTCCCAACTTCTCATTGCAAGAAAAGAGTGGTAAAGAGAAAGGGACTTAAATTAGGCCTCCGGCACCACACTCATCAGACGAAACACGGAATTGCTTCCATTTCACGCCTCTCTTCTGTGAGGTCGTGGTATTACACCGGGCGTGCCGGCCCTGGGCACTACCACTGTTAAATTTTTTATAATTTCTATAATTTCATGCGGATGAAGCCGCACGGGAACAGCTCGTAATATATAAAACTATGCAGTTATAAACATGTGTATTAAGTATCAACTACATTGTAAATTGACCGAAATAGCAAATTTATACGACTATGAGTATCATTTTACAAAATAACTGGAAACCATTACAATGTTGTTTTTTCCGTCGGCAGTAAAATGTAAACGAATTCTTGGAATTCATTTACTATCCAATAATTTTTTTAATTTAGTGTAGATTTAGAGCCTGTCCCACCACTCTGATGGAGACTCAGATAGCTTAAAAATGACGTCACTGTCAGATAAGGGAACAAAATACTATATTTCTAACACATATTTTAGACGTTGGATTGTTATCAGACAATTTACAATTTGGTAGGACAGGCCTTTAGAATGTCAAAATAACATTTAAGAGGCGTTTAAGTGCCGACGAATTTTAAGTGTTGCTTAAACCATTTGGCTTTAATGTTGTTTTTTTTTATTCCAGGGGAAAAGGAGAATAACAAGAAAGCGTGCCTAATGATATTGCAGAAGGTGGTAGATGACCCTCAGTCGGGGTCCTGTCCCAACGTGTCGTACGCGGACGTGGCGGGCCCCGTCGCCAACTACAACCCTACTGGCTCGCCGTACGCCGTGCCCACCTCTGAGGTGACAGAGGTGATAACTTGGACACGCTCATAGTATCCTAGATCCTTCAATCGGTTTTCTTAAGTGATTTTATAATGTGCTGCTTAAAGGCAATGTAACTTTAATATGACCCGTGTTAAGGTATTGGATGAACTTGTGGACTAAATTCTGCTGTAGTAGGGTGACGAAATTTCTAAATTTCTAATAGGACATATACTTAAAAAAAATATATTTAAATATCAATGGAATTCTTTTCGGTTTTAAATCAGGGGTATAAAACTTCTCAGACCATTTTTAAAAGTTTTTAAATTAAGCATACCAAATTTTAATATTTGATAAGCTACAATTTGGTATGCTTGGTTTAAAAAAATAAAAAAATGTAAACTGAGGCATATTTGTTATGATCTTGATATTTTATTGCAAAGGTTAGTATATTTCGAGGGAATGTAGGAGATCTTTGTGAGCGTGTTCAAGTATGCCACTTGCCTCGTTCCCAACTCTCCATCTCTCATGCATCATGACACCTCATCATATGTCTTGTGTCATAAGCACGGAACTAAATACCAAGGATACTTTGGATATTATAAATTTACAAGTTTTCCTAATTGTATGTAAACACTGACATCAACATCAGTATGAAAATATTAGTCAAATGTCTATTATTTTTTATAAAATTGTGTTTAAACCTGAAAAAAAAAAAAAATTTAGTTGTTAGTATCAAGAAATATAGTATTTTTTAAATAGTAGGAAATAAGTCGACATAACATTATCATGTCCACCCTCAGTATGAAGGAAATCACTGTCCATCCACGCCTCATACAACTTTGTTACTCTTGTCAATAGCTAAGGTAGTGTTACTCCGTACAGAGTCATGGTCTGGGCGGGTCTGTGGGCGCAGTGGGCGGCGTGGGCTCCGTGGGCTCGGTGCTGGTGAACGGCGCGGCGGGGCTGGGCGCGCTCTCGCTGTCCCTCTCGCTCGCCCCGCCCGGCACGCCGCCCCCCTCGCCTCTCACTCAGCACACGCTCGACCATATTAAGGTATGTTTCCACTGCAATGGACAACATTTTATTGCAGACTTAGTATCGTATAAAAAAAGCCAATTTTACTCACTGATTCAGCTTGCAAGTAATTTTGATATCGGCCCAGTAGTTATTGAGTTATTCCAAAACATACACAAATACAGAGAGCGAGAAAAAATTGAGAGCGTCGGTGGCTCAGTGGTTTAAGCACTTGACTTGTAATCTACAGGTCTTGGGTTCGAATCCCGCCGCCATGTACCAATGTGATTTTCAATTTTTCGAATTTTCATATGTACATAATTTACCCGACGTTCTTACGGTGAAGGAAAACATCGTGATGCAACCTGCACATATCAGCGAAGAAATTCAAAGATATGTGTGAAGTCAACCAACCCGCACTTGGCCAGCGTGGTTGACTATGGCCTAGTCACCCTAACTTTAGGGTAGGCTCCGAGCCCCTCGGTGGCGACGTATAGTGAGCTGGTGATGATGATGATGATGACACAAATACAAATCTTTCCTCTTTGTAATATTTACATATAGATATAGATAGAATTACAGAAGTCTCATCCATTTTTACTTTATTTAATAGATTCTGACTTTTAGTTTATATGTCTGAGTCTGAGCTTTCGCTCGCGACTCCGTCCGCGTAGAATTAAAAAAAACTTAAGTGAGTGAGAACCTATGTGTTCTTCCAGATTATCCTATACCAAATTTCAATTCAGTCGTTTAAGCTTCAAACTGTAACAAACAATCATCCATCTAAACTTTCTCATTTATAATATTAGTATGATTAATACGCTGCATGTACGTATCCCGTGTGCGTACAGCACGCTTCACTATGAATGTTTGGTGCTTCCTTCATACAACTTGTTCAACACTAACTGCATACACAAACAGTGTTCAGTTTGATCGCTTCTCTACGGATTAAGTCTGTACAAGGGTGACTGTGTGGTGTCGGTGCAGGTGGCGCTCCGCCAGGCGGGGTACTCCGAGGCGGGCATATCTGAGATAGGCGCGGCGCTGTCGCTGCTGGTGAAGCACGGCGTGCTGGGGCTGGCGCTGCCGGCCGCGCTGCCGCCGGCGCCGCTCTCCGCCGCGTACTTCCCGCTGCCGGCGCAGGACTCGCCCGCGGTCTTCGGCCCGCTGGGTCAGGTCGGCCTCGGTGAGTTCTACTACACGTATACAAACTCTATCAACAAATTACGCGACAACGACCTCTGGCCGCTGACGTACCAATATTAAATTGTCTTCACTATGAGATCGCTTTATACGGTACAATCAGCTGCTAAAAATATTTACAGCTCTAAACTTGTATAGCCTATCAAATATATAGACGTATCTGTTTGCAACCAAATACGATTATGCAATTGACGAATACGTGTTTAAATGTATTTGAAACTTTTACTAAATTGATACGTAGTTTTGCAGCTAACTGTACTTTTAAATATAGAAAGTATTACATTTGTCTCGTATTCGTTTCGCCTATAAGTCGATTTAGTTATAGTATTCAATCCGATTGAAATTATGTGTCAAATCAGGGTTCGAAACGATACGGTAATGAAGGTACGTTGAAAGTTTATGTAGCGCAATTTAGGATATATTATAGCGGAATTAAAAGTGTTTAGTATGCTAATTTAAAATTATTTAAAAGACTATAAAGGTTACCAACGAATTCGTAGTAAAGAGGGACGTTATGTATTATTTAGGTTAGTAATTTTAATATAGTAACAATTACGTGAAATGTTTATGTTAAATTACGTTTTTATCTACTTCGACAAATTTAGAAAGACACAAGTGAGATTAGGATAATTGAAAATATATCGAAAAAGCAATAAGTTGATAAAATTAATCATTATTGAAGTATGAAATTTCTTTAACAAAGTGTGGTAGGTGTTTGTGACTGAAGTGGTTAGAAAAGATAACAAGATTTCATCCAGTTTCTTTTCCAATAACTTGCTATAGCTCGAAGGACCATTTTCATATCAAGTAAACATCAATCAATAATCAATTCATTTAAATAGTTTTGACATAAAATAAGTATGAGGTTTTCTTTGAAATAATTCCCAATTCACAGTTCACAATGTTCAGGACTTATAAGACTTATGTTGGACTTAGAAGACATGTGAAATGAGGTTAATCCAATTACTGATAATAGGAATATCCCGCTTTAATCCCGAGAGCAAAGTAAATCATGGTCGCTGTAAACAAATTGACAATAGTCGACAAATCCATCAAAGACTTGACCTTGCGAACGCTGCGTCAAGGTTTCATATGTAAGCTAAATACAACTTTAAGCCATTGCAATAGATATCAATTTCTATATAAATATATAACCTTGTTTGAGGTATAATCACAAACACTAAGCCCCAGCTAATTGTGTGCATTTATTTAAAAGGTCGCACGTTTTGTTTTACTTGTCAAGGGAATTTTTACTTTATGAACGTTGTAATAGTTATTGTAATCGATTGTTTAGCAGTTTGAATAGTATGCATATTTTATTATTAGAGAAATAATCGATTATCCTTGTAACTTGTTACACGTGAAGTTTGTAATAAAATTTTATGATAACTTCCGAAAGGATTTTTATAAAAATGACCATGTTTTTAAGTCTCAAAAATTAATTACAATGCATATTGAATACTTCATATTATACTTATTAGTGGCTACAGTCATAATTTTTTTCTTCCGACTAAATATGATATAGGCAACTTTATTATTTAAAAAAATGCCATATATGGTAATATTTTATGGCAATGTTGTTATGTTGATAAATATAAATTAATATTTCTTGCCATTTTAATTTAAGGTAATCACCAAAAATGAAATTTTTTTTATCTGTAGAAAAATTAAACAGCATATAGACTAATTTTTAAATAAGTTTTAGAATTAATAATGTTATTGTTATATGTTAATTAATGTTTTTTGTAATTTTAAATATGTTTTAGTGATGTTTAAAAAACAATGTGATATAAAGAAGTCACACCACGCTCTCAAAGTCGGTTTTACGCACAAAATTCTAAATTATCTTCTTAGCGCTTTTTACATCAAAACTCTTTTGGTTCATTGGCTGACTATTAACACTATCTATGACTCTAAAGTTTTTCTGCTTTACTTATTTTTTGTATCTTTTTAATTAATGTTTGAAAGCGTTTCATTTCGTCAATTAAAAAATCTATAAAATTATATTGCGTATAATGAAACGCTGTCAATTTTTTTTTGTTGTAATTTAACTGTTTAAAAGCATAAAAACATTTAGACGAAAAACAATTATTGTTCAATTACGGAATCATTTAAAAATAAGAGAATTGTAAAATAATTTTAAGCGCATGTAAGTTCGTTTTATATTATTTTTAGGTTATATTTATCATCATTCAAGAAATTAAAAATGTATAAATACGAAATGTCGAAGTTCAAATGTTCAGTGCCTCTGAATTTAATTTATAGTGGAAAATTTTTGATTTGTAAAAAAATATTATATAAGTTTTGTTTGTTACAAAGAATATGTTTGAAACAACTAATTGTTATTCGTCTACACAGTTTCTATGGCATGCAATTGAATTGTGTGTTGCTGATTTTGTTTAACACAATTGGCTTTTTAATTGGTTTATTTTGAAGTTTACAATAGTCGCGTATCGAAATTTCAAATCAGCTTTTACCATTTCATCCTGTCGGCAATACACTTTTAACATTGTATCGAGGTTATGTGTCAGAATATGTGAAAATTCCTCCATCTTTAAAAAAAAAAAGAAATTGTACCATTCTGCCAAGGTTCTTAATTCTAACCTGCCAGTCATACTTTTTTAAGTTTAAAATATTCTAGTTTTATATTACATTTCTTGAATGCGTAAGAATAAAAATAATTATTTTTTACTTGGCCTGTTTCTATAAATATGTCTTTGTTGCATATTCTGACACATCTTCAATGCAAACTAATTTTGAAAGAGCAATTTGATAGTAAAATTTATGAAATAGTTGATGCACCTTAATTATTTAAAACTTCTGTAAAACTTGAATATACACGCAATAGATAAAAAATAAACAAAAATCTATTTAAATACATGAGTTTTACGAGATGTGTCCCATTATTTAAAGAATTTATATTTTTAAATACTTACTTAACTATAGTGGCTGTAGTTTAAAGTTTATCTTTTCTCTAAATGCTTCAACAAAATATTTAAGTCGCATCAACATTTAAAATACTATTTTTAGTATTATTTAAGTAGAATACAAGTTGCTCTTTCGTCCTTCCGTCTGTATCGTCCGCAAGTCCGCTACACAGCGCCGCCGCGACCACCTCTGCAACTCATTCGGCACAGTTTCTATCAAAATTTCATCACCTCTAGTGCACACGACACTTACAAAGCCGCGACCCGGGTTATGCTCTTGTACGGTTCTCTTAACTTTGATACGATTTAAAAAAAAAATAATAAAGCACTTGGCGCTTTTATTTCATATTTAATCAGTGAAACAATATTTTTTTTTTTCAAAGAATATCTGATTAAACCTAATCTAAAATTCCTTAAATTTTTTATCAAATTATACGATAGTTAACAAGTAAAGATTATAAATGTTGAATATTGGAAGAGTTAGGGCACGTGTCGGGGGACGTGCAAAAGCATCACCCTGTACCGAGTCGGGCAGACAGGCAGTAGTCAGTCGTGCAGTCGGGCAGTCGGGCA